GATTATCCATCCGTCCATCCGTCCATCCACCTATGATGCTCTTGTTGGTATTGGGATCAAGTAGAGGTGTGCCAGTGTTTTTGAATTTGAAAAGTTTCAAATCCAGAACACTTCCAGTTAGGAACAGTGCCAGAACACATTCAGTGAAGCCAGTCTAACCCATTTCAAGCTTGAAGTATTTTGAATTTAACAGGTTTTGCACATTCTTAGAACATCTCATCTGCTGGTTCTACTGTTTTAATTTCCCCCAGTTTTAACTGATGTAGTTTTTAAAATTTAAAACAAGAAGTATTAGATCCGCCACTCAAACTGTTCTCTTGGTTGAAATGAGAATATTAGTCCCATCAGGACTTCCTGATATGAGAATGGATAGCAGAGTTCCAGTGATAGTATTAATATTGAACTAAAGAGATTTATACACTATTGTTTGTGTATGAATAAATAAGCTGGCAGACTTTAATATGGGCAAAGAACAAAGCAGTCCTGACTGAATTGTTCTTGAAGGTTCGGAAAATCCTCTTGGCATGCCTGCAGAGCCCAGCAGGCACGAGTAGAATTCCCCAAGGGATCCTTACCTTCTCTATCTGGAGAAGATAGAGATCTAGGAAATCCTGGGGCTCACGCAGGGCCAAATCTTGCTTGTGTTTCTCCATCTCTTCCTTTACAAGTAACATACCTGTCTCCATGGATGCTACTATCTTCTGATGAGGCCCTGGGAGATGTTTCATTAGCCATGGAAACAATTCGTAGAGCTACAGGGGAAGTAAAAACAAAATCCTATCGATCCCTGATGAGAAGTGTTAGGTAATATTAGGGCTCCCAGATCTGGGCTGCGTAGCCAAGATAGCTACTGAATGCTAGCAAAACATTCTTGTAGTGGTCATAACTTTTTACCCAGTACTGCACTGGATGGTGAATGGCAGAAGTAACAAGAAGAACTTTACACTCCTTGGAAGGTGAGCTCTTTGAAAGAAACATCATACTGACTCATGTTATAGTTCCATCCGTGCTAATAAGAGACTTGGAGAGTCCTGTGAGATGCAATAAGAAAGAAAATGATCACTCACCAATAAGAAGGCGGAGCCTCCGAATTTCATATAATTAGTAATGTCTTCTATTGCCATCTGGAATTTTGTGTCTTCATGTGAGAACCAGTATCCAAAACTCAAAAGGCAAATCACGTTACAGACTGAATTACTGATGGATAGTAAAGGATCAATTGGCTGCCCTGTAAATGAAATTATACACAGCCATATTAATAGCATTCCAGTTTGGAGCAGCAGGACCTCATGAAGAACTGAGGATTGAAGAACAATCAGTTTAATTGTTGAGGAATGGGAATAGTTTGACTGTTTCATGGTGGTTCTCTTCCTTCCTTCAGGGCTGGTTTCAGTCAGTGTTGGTGCGGGGGAATAGTTTGCTCCCTAGGTCCCTCCTCTTTGTGGTGCCACAGGGCTCAACTCTGTGTCCCATCCTATACAACATCTACATCTATATCTACATGAAGCTGCTGGGAGAGGCCCTTCACCAGTTTGGGATTTGGTACCACAGTACCGGGCACCTAACCAGCTGGTGAGGTTCTGTTCCAGTGTCTGGGGCTTTGCAGGTTTGGATGGCGAGGAACTGTTTCCAACTCAATCATATCAAATCTGAGTGGCTGTGGAAGTTAGGGCCACCTAGATCTGGAGATATTCCATCTTTACCTTGGATGGGGTAGCACTTCCCTATGCAAGAATGGTGCATAATCGGGGGCTCTTCCCAGACTCCCAGCTGTTGCTCAGGGAACAGGTAGAAGCTGTTGCTGGGAGCGTCTTTGCAAAGCTTCATCTGGTGCCCTGCTTGTGCCTTTTCTTAGATCAGGGGGCCCTTCTGAAGGTCACCCAGACCCTAGTCACCTCACAGCTTGATTAGTTCAATGTGCTCTATGTGGGGCTGCCCTTGCACACCACGCAGAAGCTTCAGCTGGTCCAGAATTCAACAGCACAGACAGTCATGGACATGTCTTGGTATGCCAATCTGATACTTCTGTTTTGCAAGCTGCACTATTCATTTCCTTCTAGGTATCATTCAAGGTGCTGGATGTGACCGCTAAAGCCCTACATGGCATAGGGTTTGGTTAGTTGAGGGAATGCATATCTCCTGGGTTTGTCTGCCAGGCCAATTCTATCCAGCAGTTTTGGCGTGCTCTGGGTTCCTTTGATTAACCAGTACTATCTATCAGGACCCTGGAAATGTGCCATCTCTGTCATGGCACCTGCCTTTTGGAATGAGGCTCCCTCTGAAATCTGGGTGGCCACAATCTGTTGGTGTTCCAGAGGGCCTTAAAGACGTTCTCCCAGGCCCTGGGCTAAGTTGGTTCAAGCCCCCTCCTTGGTGTCTGAGACACGTTTTGTTGGTGTGGGCTGGATTAATGTTTCATGTTTTTGGTCTGATTGTGTATTTCCTATTTTATTTCAAGTTGTGAGCTGCTTAGAGTTGATATGGAGACAAGTGATGCCATGAATGAATGAATGAATGAATGAATGAATGAATGAATGAGGAAACAAAAAACTGAATTGTGGAACTTTGTCCCAATCTCGATACAATCATCGTCTAACTTCTCCTACCTTTTGTGCGCGCAAAGATCTCCACCAGCTGATGGGCCTCCTCTTCTATTCTGTGCTGCAAGCCTTTCTTCCCCAGTCCCAGCTTGCGTAGAGCACCTGAGGCAAAACGTCTCTGCTGTTTCCAGGTGTGACCATTTGCAAATGCAATCCCTGAGGAGTCAATGTGAGATTCACACTTTAAAGGAGCCCCATAAGCATGACTTACAAGTTCAACAGATAACAATTGCAGTGTCAGAGGCAGCTAGATGGCTCTCTGAAGCTTCTTGCCACCCAGTTATTCTTAGCTTCCCTTGCACTCTTTCCCAGCTCCACTCACACACCTTTTCCACTCTTCCTTGTGCATGCGGAAGAGTCACTTCTGTTGTGGCCAAAATAGAAACACAAGGAAACAAAGCAATAAGAATAAGTAGATACATATGACAATGATTTATGTGAAAGCCCTTTTCGCTCCTTGATAGACTTGCCAATGGTCTTTTCTCCCCCTCCTCCCAGCACTCCCAGTCCTCTGTTCCTGGAGCTGGTTTGCAGAGCTCTGTCCTGGCTGCTGCAGCAGTGGGCTTGGTGTGGTTTGCAGGCTTGCAGACTCTAGTTGGGCCCTTTTCCTCCCCCGTCTCTCAGCTCTGCCTCTCAGTGGTCTTGAGGCTCCACAACTGAAGTTTTCCCTTGCTGTCCGAGGACTCCTGCTGAGGCCCTTGCCTTTGGGTTGGAGGTTTCTGTTCCCGAGTCTCTGCTGTCTTCCTGGCTTAACTCCTTTCTGGACACACCAATGCACACAGTTGCTTTCAGCTCCCTTTTTATACAACAAACTCTCCATTCACATGTGTGGACCAGTACCTTTTACCCCACCCCTCTCTCTTTCAAAGAGAAGACTTCCTTCTTTCAATAGCTCCTCAAAGCACAGACCATTCACAAGACCATTACCAAAAGGAATTCATGTATCTCTATTGCCTCTGGATTCATGTTGCAGCTTGATAGGCTTGTGCAAATTCTTCTAGGGGAAAGTTTGAGTAGAGCATCCTTCTGAATCCAGATGGGTCCAGGAGGGCACCCCTGATGGATCTAGAAGGGCCCTCCATGTGAACCTTCTCACTGATTTTCACAGGACTGTTATGCTGATATCACCAGCTCTCCATCCTTGAACTTCATGTGGGGGACAAATAATATTCTCCTTTTTTTACATCTCTCTGGTTAGATGACAATAGAATACCTCGGTCTTCAAAAGAACTTACCTTTACCTTTACATATTTTTAAAAGAAAAGTTGAAAGGGGTCGATCAACAAAAGCTTCTGAATGGTTGATCAAGCTTTCTTTTATGGCATGAAATCCAGAAATAACAACTACAGGACGATGCCACACCCAGATAGTGTAAATGTCTCCATATCGCTTTCTCAGCTGACATTTGGGGCAAAAAAGAGAAAACAACTTAATCAGCCTGCTTTGAAGTCACAGATAACATGCTAACATGTATGAACCTTCATCACCTTTTCATGAGAGAGAGGAGACAGAATTACTATCACATCTCCCCTGCGATCAAAAAGGGCATATTTCTGGGCACTCTTGGATTAAGGTAGAATGAAGAACAGCAACATAGAAATTGGGATTTCCTGTCCATTCTGGTTGGGTCCCTTCCCTGCTTCCCTAACCTATTTAATTCCTGGCATGCATAAAAGAGAAATACCCATGAGCTCCAGGTAGGAATTGATCAGAAGATTCCAACTTGCAATTATCTCTACAATTTCTAGGTGGTAGCATCTGTGAAATTCTTTCAGAAGATTATTGACCACTTGGGAAACTGGTAGTTGGGTCAAAGAAGCCGTGTTCAGTGCAAGGGGTTTGACAGGTTTTTTCATCAAGAGAACCAAGAACATTGTCTTTTTCCACCCAAAGTTTCCTCTGAGCTTGAATGCAGATTCAGAGAGCTCCCACCCACTTCAGTCCCTCTCATAATTGTATCTGGGTTTTTCCCCCATGGGAGTATCAATAATCCTGATAATCTGGATTGGGGACTGATCATCCTATGGCCAAAAGCCTAAAATCAAGTGGGAGATAAATGAAGGTTGTGGGGGCAGTCCGCTTTAGGTCAACCTACTTTCTTCCTTCCAGTAGTAATGTATGGCTGTGAGAGCTGGACCATAAAGAAGGC